GCATGCTCCTTTTTACTCAGTGGACATAGAATGAGGCTGTAGTATAGTTTACTTCTCTGTTGTGATAAAACACCATGACCCAGATGATCTATACAAGGAAGGGTTTTACTTGGCTTACCGCTCCCGAGGAGTAAGAGTCTGACGTGGCAGAGATGGCGAAGCAACAAGCCACGGACTTGGCGACAGAAGCAGAGAACTAACTCATCTCGCCTGGCAAGCACACAGCCAGGAGCATTCGCGGGAAATTGACCTCAAAGCCCTCCCCCAGCGAGGCCACACCTCCTAAGCCTACGCAAAAACAGCGCCACCAACTGAGGACCAAGTATTCAAACAGCTGAGTCGGTGGGGGATATTTTCTTTTGAGCCACCAGAGTCCATGCTGCACACATAGCTCACTCGAGGACGCTCAGGATGGAGATGACTTAGAGGCTTCCCTACATTATGCCTGCAATGAGCATGAAAGCGCACAGTCTGGCGTGGTGCTACACCAAGTGCCTGCGTGATCGGGGCATGGAAGCAGCTGCTGCTGGGCTGTTACAGTGCTAGAGTCTGAAGCGTAGACATGCGCACCTAAGATGACAGGTGCCCGGAAGAGCAAATGCTGTGGGCAACAGGGTTGGCGAGCGAAGACCCCCCCAGCTGGACCATGGCATGCCAGAGAGGTAAGTCAAGGCAGGGTTACAAGCATGGCCAGCGGGAGGGATGGCAAGCGCACCACCGGAGGTGGGCACTGCAGGGCATTCACCCAAGGCTCTGGATGAGATCAAGAGCCAGGAAAGGGCTTGGAGCAGGGGCACCCCGTGGGAGACTGCGAGGGGTAGGAGTGGTCTCCCTCCCCTGTCGGCCACCTTATCATCCTTCAAAGCCAGCCCAGTGGTCCCTTCATCCCGACAGCCGTCCTTGTTTCTGCCTAGGGTACCATCACACAGCACCAGCTTCTTCATGGCATCTACCGCTGAGGAATTTGCACACTTGACCCACAATTGTGGTGGCACCATCGAGCTTCCCCTGGGAACAGGTATATTTTAAGTCCCTAGTTCCTGCACAGAGCCTGACCCATAGCAGGTGCTCAGTGAGAGTAAAAAAGAAAAAGATGGACAAATTCCTGGGGGGTTCCTCCCTGTTTCTGGTTGACAACTTGACCACATCTGGAATTAACTAAAAAAATCCAAGTCAATGCGCACACCTGGGAGGAATGTTTAGTTAATTGGATCATTATTTGAGATCAGACGACCCTCCCTAAACCTGGACCACACCCTCTCATTCCTGCCTATATTGAGGACTTGGAAGAAAGCAGCTTTTGCTTTCTGCCTGCTTGTCCTCACTCTCATTGACAAATTCAGATACCCTGTTGCTGAGGCCTTCCTTCACTGTCATTAGAGCCTACTTTGGGATTCTGGTATGTACTGAAGACCAGCTGAGACATCCAGCCTTGTGCGCTGAACGAACAACTGTTGGACTGTTGGACTGACTTTCCATTGAGAGGCAGCCATTGTTGGACTAGCCTGTGAACCTCTCTAATAAATCCCTGTAGATAGATAGATAGATAGATAGATAGATAGATAGATAGATAGATAGATAGATGATAGATTCATTCTATCATTTCTGTTCCTTTGGAAAACCCTTACTAATACACTCTACACTGAGTCCTGCTTTTACTCTTTCTCTCTCCATGTCCCCACACCAGTGTCTACCCCTCATGTAGAACCAGCTGATAGCTGGCCATGGTCATGCTTATGCAGGCACACATCAGACTGTCCTCTAAGTGGCAGACATACCTGTTGCCCAGGGGGCAGACCTCCTTAAAGCAGGCAGTATTATTGCGCCAAGTACTCCCTTCTTTGTGGCCACCTAAGCCTGTCTCCATGCCCTCTTCAAAGCCCCCTAGCTTGAACTCAGTGGAAAGTTCGTACCCGAGGAAACTTGGGAGTCAAGCTTCCTCCTTTTCCCAGTCATGCAATGCCACACACAGACTCAGTGACAGAAGGGGTATCACCCTTTTCTATGCCTTGTCTCCAAGAGAGCTCACACAGAAAGGATACAATGTACGCATTTTACAAACCAAAGATCAGAATACATAGACTGAGGTAAACTCGGGAAGCAAAAAGCTGGCCCAGCTGACCTTTAGTCTAGCCCTGGAAGCTGAGAAATTTTGTCCCACATCTTCAGGGCCTGTAAATCTCAGTGCTGAGTCAGTGAGTTGTCTCAGCAGTAAGCATTTGTTGCCAGGTCTGCTAACCCAAGCTCAATCCCTGGGACCCACAAGGTAGAAGGAGAGAACTAACTTCCATAGGTTGTCTTCCGACCTCCATTCGTGGGCACATGTGTGTCTACACACACACACACACACACACACACACACACACACACACACGCACAGATAATTAAATGTAATAAAAAATGTAAAAATGAGCTCAGTGCCTATAATCTTTAGAGCTGTCAGACCTCAACATATTATTGAGTCAGTATAGTAACACTAAATTTTCAGTAGTAAAAATATTTCATATACTCTTGATAATATGTGGTAGTTAAGAAATTCCCTTTGTAAGATTGAAGCCCATGGTTTTTATAAGGTATATGGTAATTATTATTTAAGCCTTACAATGGGCATGTTCTATGGCCCAGAGGTTCTGTTTCTGAGAACTGGTCTAATTTTGGAAGACATGTCTCCAGCTTCAACAGCAAGAATATTTGTCACACAGCACCACTGATGATAATACATAGTGGCAAATATCCCAAGGGCCCAGCAGGGAGTGATCAACTTAATCAATCATGGCATGTCTGTACAATCAGGTATTTGGTATCCAAAATAATGACAAAAACAAAAACAAAAAAACAAAAATCAAAACTTCTGACGCTTACTCCTGTCTGGGACCACATTGAACCCTTGACAGGAGCCATTGCTCTTCTCTCTTGTCATACTGAAAGTAGCTTCATCCCCACCTCACAGATGAGGAAAACTGAGGGCTAGAAGAATCATTTGCCCACAGCCACATGCAGGCCATGTGAAGTGAAACAGACCCCCAAGCCACTATACTACGTGGTTTCAAATGACACCATTTTTAAAAATAAACAAAGCAAGACCGGCCCACACAAGCAGGTTATCCAACCAGACTTGCAGCAGGGTCTGAGCTGTGCATTTGCATTCAAACCCCAAAGATGGTGCTGTTTTCACCTTGGTATAGTCCTCTGAATGCATAAAATTGCCTGATTTTCTTATTTTTATGAAATAAATCCATGCTATTATATATGAAGAAAAGCAAATTTTAATTTTTTTAAGTAACATAAATGACAAAGAATCATCTTGCCTTCCCTTTGCTGACCCCAGTGTCCAGCTGCCAACCTGGCTTTAAGGCAAACACAATGGTGGATATGGGTATAGTGTACACGAAGAGATCCGTAGTCCTGGAGCACAGCTTCCCCTAGAGGCAACAAGCACTCTGCAAATGAGAAGAGAAAGCAGTTTCAGCACGTTGACCAGCCAGATAACTACAGCCTCCAACCCCAGTAGCCCCCCCTGGATACTTGCACCCCTGGGAGCTACCAGGCTAACACAGCCCAGAGTAAGCTCTTGCCTGGAAGCCAAAGCCAGGCCTCCTTGAGCCTAAAGCACATGGACCCCAGCTCTGGGTCTCAAAGCAGCCCTTTCACCAGAATGAAGGAGTCTGAAGAAGAGCAGCCCCACTCTGCAGACAGACATCTAGAGACCCTGCTGGCACAGTCAGCTGTTTCCTGGCTACAGAACCTGGGGTGAGTTGTCTCTTTCTCACTATACCTGTTTCTGCACCGACAAATGAACTTTAGAGTACCAATTTGAAGGAAAGCTACCCATTGGTATATAAAATATGTACTCAATGATGTCCTCAAGTAACTTTGTCCTTTGTCCTGCTAACTGCTTTGTATGATCTATGTGCTTCTCACGGGTGCCTGTGATAGGCACTACAACAACCTACAGTTTTACAGATAGAAAAAAAAAGTCTTTTAATGTAAAGCCACTTGCTGGTGACTAGTGGGGCAGGGCGGAATTTCATCCCCCACCATCTGATGTAATAATGTACACAAAGAGAGATAGCCTCTATCGGGTTATGACTATGGAGTCATCGCTGCCCACTGGGCCCTCCTGGCTTTAGAGATTAGTATAATGTATGTGAAGCGTACCCTGGGTTCTCCACAGCCCCTGGGCAGCCAGACACACAGGACACCAAGCCACAGAGCCTTTCTTAGAGCTATGTAGTTTCCTCCCCTCCCCCATCGCCGCTCCCAGTGACCCAGTGATCAAAAGCTTACCCAACCTGTGGCAAGCCCCTAACTACACCTGGCCTTGAGCTGCTGGCCCAACAGAGACCCACACCCCCCGGGGCAGGCCTGCTGGCGCTCTGGCTTGGCACCTGTTGGAAGACTCTAGGATCTGAGCCAGACCTGGGACTCTGGGTGGCTTGGGACAGTAAACCTGTGTGGCCTGAGAAGTATCCGCAGGAAACAAACCCAGCACCCTTCCGCAAGCTGTGCACCCGCCTGGCCTCTCCAGGGCAGGGCAGTGGCACCGAGGTCCGGGTGTGCAAGTGCGTGAAGGCGGGCATACTGTGGAGAGAGAGGGTAGCGGATGTGAGTGTGCGCGTGTGCGCGCGTGGCTCCGAGTGTGCGCTGCTGCGATCGCGATGGGTCTGGAGCGGGCGGCAGGGCGGGCTGGGAGATCTCCTCCCCCCACCACATTGAGAAATCTCAGTGAGTCACCGAGTGGTTCTGCATATTAATGAGCTCGCTCTCGGAGAGGGCAGGAGCGAATTTAAAAGAGGCCAGGGTGGGCGGAGGGAGGCTGTGGGGAGATCGCAGCACCCAGCGCCAAGCGCAGCGCAGCACCGCGACAGACGGCAGGAGCTCCCACCGACGGGCGCAGCTGGAGCGAGCCGAGCGGGGAGGCGTGCTCTAAACCGAGAACCGAGCCGGGCGGCATCCCCCGGCCGCCGCACGCACAGGCCGGCTCCCTCCTCGCGTCCCTGCTCCCGACTGCAGCCTCTCCGGCCAGCATGAGGCTCCTGGCGGCCGCGCTGCTCCTGCTGCTCCTGGCGCTGTGCGCCTCGCGCGTGGACGGTGAGTGCCGCCGCGAGAGCCCTCTGTCACCGTCCTGTCCCCTCCTAGGGAGCCCAAGCATCCTGGAACCCAGAGCGTGGAGGAGGGTGGGAGTCCCCGGCGGGCACCTTGGGCGGTCGCTGAGCCGAATTCCCCTCTGGGGACTCAGCAGCCTGGCGGGGCTCTCCCGCAGGGTCCAAGTGTAAGTGTTCCCGGAAGGGGCCCAAGATCCGCTACAGCGACGTGAAGAAGCTGGAAATGAAGCCAAAGTACCCACACTGCGAGGAGAAGATGGTCATGTGAGTTCTGAGGGGGCTTGTCCCGTGGCGGGGCACAACCTGGGGCTGGATCGGGCTGATACGCCTTTCTCTCCACCTTTGCCAGGGCCCTGGGGAGCAGTTTATAATTGTCTGGCAAGTCCTCGGGACATTGCTGGAAAGGGGGTCTGAGGCCGGTCCCTCTGAGCCTGCCCTTGTTAGGATTCAAACTGGCGGCAGGCTGGGGGTTTACTGTGGGCTGCTGGTTCTGGTGCGCCCACTTGGAACATCTACACCAGATCCATTCGGGACACACGCCCAGCCTGCCCGGCGGGCTGAGCTGCCTTCCTCTTACTGAAGAGAGAAGTAGCAGAGCCTTGTCTTTAGTGGCAGCTTTCCTTTCAGAGCCCCTCTTCAGTCAGGGGTTTGGCCACAGGGGTGGACAGTTAGGGAGTCTCGGATCTCATTGTGAGAATACTCCTGTCTCTTCCTCCAGCAGCCGGGCTCCTTGTAGGTCGGTGAGTATGAACAGCGCTGGAGAAAATGCTCTCCTGGGGTTAATGTGTCATGCCACCACTGCCGCTGCTTGGTGGGGATGCCGGCAAGGTCTTTAAAACTGGGGCAGAGAGAGAACACTGAGTTTCCTTGCGCCTCGGCCTTCCCAATTAACCACTTGAAGCCAGCGCGGCCGTTTCCCCATCAATACACTCTTGGCCAGGAAGGCAGCCCTTGGCAAAACAGCTCCTAAATATTTGCCATGGACCATTGGCCCCTCTTCCCCTCCCCCAGAAACAGGACACACTTTATTCTCAGTCTGGGCAAGTGCCTTCCACCGGCTGCCCTTGCCGGCCCGGAGGCCTTCAGGCAGCGCCTGTGAAGGAAGGGCACACCCCCACAGAGCCCTTCACAACCTCCATCTACTTCGGGGAAGTTCAGGAATTCAGAACGCCGGGCCTGAGCTGACCGGAGTTGAGCTTCCAAATTAATCTCCTTATACCGACCTTTGTCTTGCAGGGCAAATAAAGGGAAACTATCCTTTTAGGTGTGGGCTGGCTCAGGGTTAAAAGAGACATGGCAGGTGTCACACCACCTCAGAATTTCTAGTTTCGGGGTTCATAAATGTTAGAGAAGATTTCCAGTTGTCTCTCAGACCTCCAGGGGAGAAAAATAGTACAGGGTGCATCAGCAACTCAAAGAGACAGAATCTGACCCAGACAGTCTTGTTCTTTCCTTGACTAAACTCAAGGATGCAGATGGAAACCGCAGCCAAGCAAGTGAACGAGAAAGGCTTCATGTAGCCTGGTCTGAGGAAACCTTGGAGGGGCCTCATGAGACCAGTACCTCTCCTAGGCCTCCCTCTCCACCCCATCCTTGACAGCCTGAAGGCTCCTCCCCCTTCTATCAGACAAGGGACCTGCACTTCTTGCCAAAACTGGTTTTTAGCCACAAAGGCTGAAGGCAAGTTCTCCAGGTCACCCTGAGTCACCCAGAGACCTCTGCTGGGGGTGTGGATCAGAGGGAGTCAGGATATGGGAAAGCCTGGATCTTTTTTTTTTTTAATGTATAATTTGCAGGGCGGTGGCTCACCCCTTCCCCCAGGTGTGTCCCAGGAGCCAAACACAGCTCCAGGCTTGGTAGCAGGACACTTACCTACTGAGCCATCTTGCCAACCCAAGTCCAGGTTCTTGAAGGACAGTTTGTGTCATATGTCCATCGAGTTCTCATCCAAACCATCGGCACCCCAGGGCGGCTACAACCCAGAATTTCTGGTAGCTATTGGGTCTTGAATCCGGATTCTGCACCCTGCTGCTGATTTGCATAACTGCAGCATTCTAAGCGGCTCTGGTGGGGTGGGGGTGGGGAGCTGAACTCTTTCGTGCTCTCCCTGACTCTTGCTGGCCGTCAGAAGTGGGATGGGGTGTTCAGTCTGTACCCTGGCCTATGGATAAAGGGCTTTTTACTGGAATTTGCCACTCGGGCAACAGCAGCATTGTGGGTGTGAAGGAAATACAGGCACTGATTCTGCAGGGTGGCAGAGGTGTAGCAGGTGGGCCCTATGCTTGGAGCCAGCAAGGATCCACCTATCTCCAGCGAAGGGCGATCCAATTACCTGGTGTTATCAAATGTCCATCCCTGCTCTTGGACAAGGGTGAACAGGCTCCTGAAGCAGCATTCTGCCCCCATTCTGCTGGCAAGACTGGTTTCTGTCCCTACAGACTGAGAGATCGTGTTCACAGCAACCCTGCCCTCTTCTAGAATCCGGCCTATAAACTCCCACTCTTCACCTTGGGGACCAGGTGGAGAACAGCCTGACCTCCCCACCCATCTGTGACCCCTCGGGAAGGCAGGTCTCTGCTTTCCATGTTCCCAGTGAATCCTCATCCTCCACCATAGCACATTCCCCCCCTCCCAGAACTGTAACACCCTGCAACTCCATGGCCTGAGTTCTCACATGAAGCTTGTCTTCCTCCTGGCCGGCTTATCCTTCCTGACCAATTAGTAATAACAGTGGTCACCGGATGCCCACCAGGGACTGGGCACTGTGCATAGGTTATGCCTTTTGCTCTTTCAGTCTCCCTGTGAGGTGGGTCCTTCTGTTGAGCAGGCAGGCACAGCTTACAGGGATCCAGACTCCGCTGAGAATCTCAGTAGCAGGCCTGCGTCTCCCTACCTCAAGGCAGGCTCTGTGGATTTGGAGCTTTGCCTAAGAAAGGCCCGGAGAAGGAATGTCTTATTTTTCTGCCCCAAAATGAGATAACTGCAACCTCACACTCAAGCATCAGACTGGGTTACCAGACCAACAAGGCCCTTGCTCCAGGGTCAGCAGATGTCCAGCCCAGCGGCAACTACACGGGGTTCGGGTGCTGGGTGAAGGGTCAGAGACTCTGGTATATGCAGAGCATGTCTCAGCCCCTCTATAGAGTCCTCAATCCAAGGATGGTACTTGTCGCTAGCACCTTCTAGCAATGGTTCTATCTACCTCTGAACCACTGGAAGACCTCTCTAGTCACTGCTCCCCAAGAGAGCCTGTGCTGGGGATGGCAGACCACTGGCTGAGTGCTGGGGGGGGTGCATAGGGACCCCCAAGGGAAAAGTGAAACTCACTCTGTACAGACTAACCCTATCATGGGGACTGAGACACAAAACAACAGACCTGGGATCGAGCACCTGAAACTTGAGGGAGGGGCGGGGTCTCTTGGTGCTCTGGTCTGGTCCCTGCAGACTGTTATTGAGACATCTGAACCTATACCGGTCCTGCTCTGTTTCAGCATCACCACCAAGAGTATGTCCAGGTACCGGGGCCAGGAGCACTGTCTGCATCCCAAGCTGCAGAGTACCAAACGTTTCATCAAATGGTACAACGCCTGGAATGAGAAGCGCAGGTACAACATCTCTTCTCACCCCCAAGCTCCGCCCACCCCTGCCCCCACCCATTCTCACCCCTCCAAGCCACCCCACTATCCCCTGCCTGTCCCACTCATCCCCACCCACCCAGAAGGGCTTGGCTATTGGCTATGGATTTCAGGACAAGAACCACACACCATGTCAACTACTAGCCTTGTCTAGACACTCTGGCACTGTTTCCATCCTCCACTGATGGGAAGCTCACCACTTAATAAGGGAGCCCCCTGCCTCTGGGCAGCTGTGAGCACTGAAAGTGTATCCCTTTGTGAGCTAGAATCTGCCTCATTCAAACTTTCACATTATAGTCCTTTGTGAGTATTTTTTATAACGACTTGTTTTTAATCTTATGTATATGGGTACTAAGCCTGTGTATGTTTGCGTGCACCCTACATGCCTGGTGCCCAAGGACTTCAAAAGGACTTGTCAGATCCCCCTCATCCCCCGTCCCCAACACGGCAAATACATGTGGCTGTGAGCCTCCGTGTGGGTGTCAGGGCCTTTGCAGGAGCACCAATGCTTTTAACTGTTGGAGCCATCCCTCCGACCCCTAACTGACATACTGTGGTCTTAATTGCTCTTTTTACTTAGGTCACATGAGATGAAAATGGCTGAGTGAGCACCAAGGTGCCCCAAGCCATGTTCTATTCACTGACACCTTCTCAGGCAGGTTCTGGGGGCTGCTTAAGTTCAGCCCCGACCAATCAGAGCCACATTACCCAAAGGGGACAGCAGTTAAGATCAGTGCCTGGGCCAGACATCTCTGCCAGGTGGGCAGTTTCTTTATCATCAGAAGGGGGCTTCCTAGTTTTGGGGGTCCCCAGGTCTGGCCTTTGTACCATGTGACAACAAGCCTGTCCTGGAGCAGGCCAGTGCTCAAACACCCAAGGCCTGTTCTCTTGTCCCTATATCTGCAAAGCAAAACTGGGGAAGGACACACACTTGGGCTACTTCCAAGGATCCCAGAACCTTGCCCTAAGAGGGGGCAACCAAGACCAGGTGGGGGCAGGGTGTGACTTTAATGGCACCTGGAAAAGTCATGACAAGAGGCCAGAACCCTGTGGGGTGTATGGGTCTCTGGGGCCCCTTTCCCAGCATGTGGGGTCTCCCAGCCCTGGCCTCATGACCAGCTCTCAGAGCCTACACCCCTGTTCAGTTTCTGCACCTGAATCTTTTCTTGCTCCGTCCAAAACTGCCTCGTCTGCAATCGCCTGGAATAGAAAGTGGTGAGGGGAGGGACTGTTCCCTACATATCTGATGGGAGTGAAGCCCTCTTCCTGGTCACAGCATGCAGGTCACATGGCAAAAGAGAGCCTGCCCCGCCCACCCCCTGCCACCTTCCAGGCCTGTGTCATCGAAAGACTGCAGGGTTAGCTTGGGGGTGGGGGGGAGTCTTGCCCAGGCTACTGGAGACACTCCGACCTTCTGCCCACCTTGCTCCTTCCTCCACCGGGGCCCTGTCTTTGACCATGAGGCACCTGTGAGATCCCACAGCCCACCCCCCCAACCTCCGTCTGTGCTACTTTTGCAAATTGCCCTCATGAAGGCTTTGAGAGCTCTCTGCTACTAGGCCTCTGCCAGTTTGCTACATCAAGAGTTCAGCCGTGGTGGGGTGGGGTGGCGTGGGTGGGAGCCACTATTTGCTTGTTTGTATATGTGTTTGTTCATTGAGACAACGTCTCACATAGCCCAGGCTAGTACCAACTCAACCTCCAAGCAACAGACGACTTGGAACCATGAATCCTAATCCTTTTACCTCTGAAGTGTTGGGATTCCGTGATTACAGGCCTCTGAGTTCTAAATTCATCCGTGTTTCAGCAAACTGAGGCATCCCAGAATAGGAAACGGCCATGCCTGCCGTTTCCCTTTCTACCCCTCCCCTTGTAAAGGGTTAAAAATGACTTAATGAATGTAGAGGGAGATAAAAGAACTGCTCAAAGTCAGAGGGAGAGCAAACATACATACTTTATAGTTCAGGATGGAGGAAAGAGAAGGATGGAGACCGGGGCCGGGGGCCTGGTCCATAGCACCGATAATGTGAGCAAAGAGACCCTTACAGACCAGAATCTCTGGCTGTCTGAAGAGGCAGCTACCTGGAGCATTTTTGTTTTATTTACATGTATGCGTCTGTGTGAGTGCAAAGTGGCTGGGGCTGCCAGACAAGGGCTTTGGATCCCCTGGAGCTGGAGTTATAGGTATTTGTGAGCCACCTGATGTGGGTGCCAGGAACTGAACTTGGGTCCTCTGGCAGAGAAGTGACAGATCTTGGGCACCATCTCTCCAGGCCCAAGGCAGTTTATTTCAATGCATGACTGGGGGATTCCACTTGGAAACCAAGAGCAAGGAAAGAGGAGCCATGAGCTGAGTGTGAGGGACAGCCAGAGCTGGGATTACAGGTGTGAGGGATACACCCATCCTTGCATGAACATTCTCAGAGCCACCTCCCCTCTCCTGGCCCCAGGCCTGGGAAGGGGTTCACAGATGAAGCCACTAGTAAGTGGCCTGCACAGAGTCCTGAGCTGCTGACAACTGTGTCCTCTCTTCCTAGGGTCTATGAAGAATAGAGCAACCGATCTCGGGAAGAAAAACTCCAGGCCAGTTGAGAGACTTCAGCAGAGGACTTTGCAGATTAAAATAAAAGCCCTTTCTTTCTCACAAGCATAAGACAAATTATATATTACTATGAAGCTCTTCTTACCAGGGTCACTTTTTACATTTTATAGCTCTGTGTGAAAGGCTTCCAGATGTGAGACCCAGCTCTCCTGCACTCCAGACTTCATTTCCAGTGGCTTTTTGCCGAAAAGGGGGGGGGGGACAACTCAAGCCTTTCCTTTTTAAAATAAGGGGTTTTGTATTTGTCCATATGTCACTACACATCTGAGCTTTATAAGCGCCTGGAAGGAACAATGAGCTTGGTTGAGGCATTTCATTGCACCATTGCGCCAGCCCAGGCCTGCGAAGCTTCCGCTCAGAGGGCCTGGCGCCTCGGCACAGCTGCCATGGGCTCTCCTGGGCTTATGACTGGTCAGGGTTTCAGTGGCCCCTGTTGTAGGGCAATTGGGAACAGGTCCTTGGACATCTGTGCCTCAAGGAACTAAGTCTGGTTACCATGATAAGCTTCATCCCACCCCCATCCCAGTTCACGGTCCTGCAAGCAATCCCTAAAGGAGCTGGGTCTTTCTTCCACCCTGAAGGTTTCTGCGGCTTCGGTAGATCATGCTTCTAAGGCATGGCGAGTTCCTAGCACTGTGAGAAAACAACTCAAGGAGGAAACGGAAAGATTCAGGAATATATGTGCAACACACAGCTGGAGCTACACATGCCATTGGCAAGGGGAAACTTTCAAAGCTTTGTTTCTTTCCCTCACCCCAACAGAAAGCGCACTCCCCTCCAATGCAGATGCAAAAGCGCAGTCCTCTTTTGGAGTTAGGAGTTAGGATGACACTGAGCCCTCTCCTGTGTACATACCACCTTCAGTGTGCCCTGCTGCACACCGCCCTTCCGTAGAGCCGCACTGCACGGCTGTTTCTCTGCTATGTAAACGCTGAGAGACACGAGCTGCACGCAGGTTTCATGTTCTTTCTAAGATAAAAAAGAAAGTAATAAAATATATTTGAAGTTATCAAAATTCTAGACTCCTGGGTGGTTTTTTTTTTCTCTCTCTCTCTCTAATTAAGCCAGATAACAAAACGTTGGCCTTCTCCTAAATAAATGGGCATAAATGTGTGGGAAAGAAAGTTGGTGTCTTACAAAATACCTGTCAACAGTCTCTATGGAATGCGTGGACTGCTGCTGTTCCTGGAAGCCAGGAGGCCAGGCCTGGAGGCCAGTGCCA